TTTAAAATTACCTTCTGTTTGAAGCTCCACTAAGGGTCAAGGGAAAAAATGTGACTAAAGACAAAGGTAAAATATTAGATAAAAAACTTAACGAAGGTCAAAATTGCTTTATTTCGGATAGTAGGCCAAATTTGAGAATATATTCATTTCCTTTGGATATATTCGATAACCTCTTAATTAATTTATAATATCAAGTATAAACCACTGTTGCAAATTCAAGTGAAATGTCTATCAGCATTCACTGGTTTTGCTTATAAATGTGAATCTAGCAAAGTAAGGAATTACTATATTAAACTACTAGTCTACAATAAATTGGCAACAATGGCTGTGAAACATAATTTACTTAACTTTGCTACATAAGTACAGCAATATTCGGTAAACTCTGCATTTATGCAAGTGCTTAAAAAAAAAAAAAAGGCAGTCCGATGTACAAAGCACCCCGCATTCACATAGAGTTAGGAGAAGAGTGTACCCCAAAGAGTGCGATGTAAACATCCTACCCTAACGCAAGCATTAGTGGCTGCTTCCGCAGCTAACAAGGTAAAAAATTAATTTGTGGTTCTAAAAGCTACAGTTCTTGAGGGATAATGGAGAATAAGAAGCTCTAGAAAATCTATTACACCGAGTAAAAAGTCAATCTGGTGCATTAAGCTCCCACTATGCGTGGGGTCAGGGGAAGGATCGGACCACAAAGGTCTATTGTACACAGTCTTATCCTGCATTTCTGCAAGAAGCTGTTTCCACGGCTTGAACTCGTGACCTCCTGGTCACATGACAGCAACTTTACCAGCCACGTCAAGGCTCCCCTTCGTCTATTATACCGCGTCTAGTAGAGAATTATCTGTCCTAAAAGGATTTGGACATGGCGGAGCAGCGACTTCAACAATTTCTTCAAGCATTAACACAACATTTTTCATAGTTGGCCTTAAAGAAGGATCTTCTTGAATGCACCAAATGGCTACCATTAGAAACCTCTCCAGTTTTTTCCTGTCGCCAATGGCGTCTGAATCATTTTCGACGAGCTGATATATTGTTCCTTCTTGGTAGCAATCATAAGCCCAGGAAGTTAATATTGCCTTCTCTTCACCAGCTTCAATGTCTACATTTCTCCTACAACAAATGATTTCTAATAGTAAAACACCAAAGCTATATACATCTGCTTTCACTGTGATTGGCATGTTTCGAAACCATTCTGGTGCAACATATCCTTTTGTTCCTCTTATTGCTGTTTGAGTCTCACTTTGATCCATCCTCAACAACTTTGCTAATCCAAAATCCGATATTCTTGGATCGTATTGATTGTCAAGAAGTATATTCTGAGGCTTTATGTCACAATGAATGATTTGTGTACTGCACTCGTCGTGCAAATACATGAGTCCTCGAGCAATCCCGAGTGCTACTTGAGTCCTTTGGTTCCATGTCAACTTTATATCACCAAAAAGGAAACTTGCTAATGTACCATTATTCAAGAATTCATATACAAGTAATCTATGAGGACCTTCATCACAAAATCCGAGTAACCGGACTAAATTCTTGTGATGAGTTTGTCCTATCACATTCACTTCAGTCTTGAATTCCTCCTCCCCATCTTGGATTACCCGATCCAGTTTCTTGACTGCCAATTTCTACGATACCTTTGTATACAATGCCAAAAGCTCCTCGTCCGAGTTCTTCCTTGAATCCTTCTGTGGCTTTTGACAGCTCTTTGTAAGAGAAGTATCTCAAAGTTTGATCCATGGAACTTTCATTTCGATCAAACGTTGAGCTTTTGTTGCGATAAACGAGTAAAAATCGAAGAGAAAGTACTCCAAGAAGTAAGCAATTAACAAAAACAGAACTACCCAAGAATACTGATATAATAAGGATAATAGTATCTTGATTTTTCTTTTTTGGCTCTCTAGAATTAGGGCTTTCTACAGCAATATTACCTTTTCTTCTTTTGATGAATGCTTTAGAATTCACTCTGTTATCCACTCTGCCATTTGAAAGTGGTAATTTCTTCTTCCAACAACTATTTTCTCTGAAAACCGAAACAGCACAAATGCAATCATTCAAACAAGCATTCTTGCATTTTTCTTCATCCAATGGTTGCAGAAGCTCATAATCACTCGTTGGCCAATCGATATTCGTCACAGTTTCCATTTCAAGCTGATTTTCTGCATTATCTTGATTGTCGCCACAATCTTGTATGAAATCCGGTATGCAACCTTTGTAATCATCCTCTGGATCGACTAAAGAAAACGCTCGCGGGCATTGACAATCTGGTCTTTTGTCTATGCTTAGTCTGCAAATTCTGTTATAGCCACATACACCACTGCCTCTTTCTGTAGGAAAACTATAACAGATATTATCTGGAATTGACCAAACAGCAGACCAAACACCATTACCTTTAGGCTCTTTCGGGTACTGATACAAAGTAAATACGCCATCAAAATTAAGCGTTGCTCTGTGATAAAATCTTGTTGATGATCCTATTTCACCTTTTGAAAGAACAACCTCTTGGCTGTTGTTCACTAAATGGAAAATTTGGCCTGATTCATTGAACTTGAGCTGGTAATTCGTTGCATTCAATTGATCGAAACTTCGAAGCAAGTAAAAATTCTCGTTTATATACTCACTTGGCAAGTTCACAGTAGCAATTCCAATATTTCCATTTTGAAACATTCTGAGCAAGAATCTTCCCCTCGAAAAATTAGTCTCTGATCGACGAGAAGAGAGCTTGAATCCTTCTCCAAATTCTTGACTTGGCAAGATTGTATCTTTGCTTTGATTAAAACTTTGCCATAAACTTTCAGAATTTTTATTGACAAGTACAAAATTACCTGTATCTTTCATAGAACCATAAGCAACTGTACCAATTAATGGATCAGAAATCAAAGTCTCTTGTTGTTGAGGACTAGTCAGGACTAGTCCGCGATCAGCAACGAGCTCGATTCTTGATCCTTTAGGAGCTGGATTATCTCCATTTGCATACCAAACAATGGTTTTCTCAGAAATCTTGTTGTACCATATTGAAACTAGGAATTGATCTTCATTTCCTAGTTGTTGAAATCCAAATGCAAAATCTCCAGAAGGAGAAATCCATGCAGATACTTTATCATCACCAGCTATAAGTAATGAGCCAATTTTCACCTCATTTTTGGTTTGAGATAATGCAAAATTTGGTAGCAAAACAAAGCAAATGAGTAGGAAATGAATAAGTAAATTCATTTTGGCCATATTTGTTATTCCACAAGTGACAACAATATGGAAATACAGCTACTTTATATAGAACAAAGAAAATAGTCTTCTATCAAAAGAAACATAATATTGGTTTGTTGTTGAAATCACAAGGGAAGTAAACAATTGGAGAGACTACTTTGACTATGTTGAATGACTTATAGTTTTGAATTTAAGTAGCAAAATCTTGAATGAAATGGCAGCCCGGTGCACTAAGCTCCCGCTATGCGCGGGTCCAGGGAAGGGCCGGACTATAGGGGTTTACTATACGCAGCATTACCCTGCATTTCTGCAAGAGGTTGTTTTCATGGCTCGAACCCGTGACCTCTTGCTCACATGGCAACAACCAGTTACGGCTCCCCTTCAAAAGGATCTTGAATGAAAGGGCAACTCGGTGCACTAAACTCCCGCTATGTGCGAGGTCCAGGGAAGGTCGGACCATAAGGGTCTATTGTACGCAGTCTGTAAGAGACTGTTTCCATGGCTCGAACCCGTGACATCCCGTTCACATGACGGCATCTTTACATACTACGCCAAGGCTCCCCTTCAAAAATTTTGAATGACAAAGTAGGAATTTCAAAGCTAGAAGGTACTTAGTACAAATCTTTTGTTACACAAATTATGGCTATCCACTTGTTTTCTATGAGGCAAAAATTATCAGCAGGTAAATTTGACTATTATTACACATGATAAAAGTCTGAAAAAAATTAATTTGATAATAGAAATTTTTTAACTTTTAAGGATATGGAAACTAATGATTGGCTAGGAAAGGTTCTTGGAAGGTAGGGATTTCCTATTTTATTCTAATTTTCTTGACTTTCACAGAGTTTGGTAATTGTTTAAGAAATTAAGACTTCATATTCAAACTATTTAGTTAAAATTTCAGAAACACGAATGAAAAGTCTCATTGCTTGTTCAACACGCAAAAAATTGCATCATAATAAATAAGAGATTTTTACTGTGGAAAGAAACAGATAGATTAAAATATTTGGATTTTCTACCTTTAAAACCATCAAATATGTTAATTAATGTCAGATTTCCAAATTTTTGACCTGGTTCATTGAAACTAGCAAACAAGTCAAGTTTGGTTCTTTCCCTCAAGGAAGCAAGTCAAGTTCAAATTTAGGAATTCGAAACCTTTGGTTAAAGATGGAGGAATCCTATTTTCATTGCTAAGACCGGAGTTTGGTCCACAATTTCCTTTAATTAAAATTTTTACAGGAGATTTCATCGACACTATCCGTTATAGCTTTGGCTCTAAAATACAGTCAAACATCTCTATAACAATCTCATTTGTTCCGAATTTTTTTAGTTGTTATAGTGAAGTGTTGTTATAGAGAACATATATTTTAACATAGCATAAAAATTAGTTCCATAAAAAACTTAGCTTTTATAATGAATGATTGTTATATAACTATGTTGTTACAGAGAAGTCTGACTGTATCATGATATTAATTTGCCTAACGGGTTAATGACTTACTCCCACTGTTCCATTTTACGTGGAACTATCACTATTTAGCTTGACCCTCGTACTCCGAACCCCGCCACATAAAATGAAGTGGAGAGAGCATGTATTAACATTGGCGGAGCCAAAGTGTGCCATGCGAGTTCGGTCGAACCCAGTAACTTTTGTTCACACCCTGTATGTGCCTTAAAATATTCATTGAATATGCACAAATTATTAATTTAGAACCCAATAACTTAAAAACATTCCAACCCCAAACCCATAAGGTTTAAATCCTGACTCCGCCTCTGCCTCTGTATATTAACACAAATGTTGGTAACACCTCAAGCCAAATAGCCAACTGCCTTTATTTGACCATTCTCAATATTTTCAAGTAATGCATAGTTGTAACAAAGACTCAAACAGACACAAAGAACATGGCATAAAACATCTTTTTGGATATATAGTTTCAGGAATATTTGGTAAATTTTTTTTTTTTACAGATTAAACATGACTTTAATAGCATCACCACCACCAGCACTAGTTTCAAAAGCTTCTTCAACTTCCTTTTGAGAGAATCCAAACCTGTGTGTGATCAAAGGTTTCACGTCGATTTTTCCACTTCTTAAGAACTCGAGACACAGAGGCCATGTATTCTTGTAGCGGAATATGCCTATGACATCAACCTCCCTGAACATAAATGGAGAAAACAATCAGTGTAGTGGCAAAAAGATACAGAAGCGAGGGAACCGTCAGCTTATTATTACTGTAGATTAAGAAAAATTTTAGCTATCGAAAAGATCCATTAGTGATGTTAGTACGTCTACTTTAAGTCCTATATTTTGTAAGAGCCTTTTAATCATGTCAGAAATTTATATGCTAGTAGAAAATATAAAGAACTTCTAGAACGACTTCTATATTTAGGTTTTTATTTGCATAATGTTGCACGGAGATGACTTTAATGGAGTGAGACGATCAGTGAGGAGTCATATAGCAGACTCCAACTTGATTAGGATTGAGGCGTAGTTGTTGTTGTACCTTGCAGCAGCTGGAGTAAGAGGAACAGTCATCTCATGATGTCCCATTCCTACTAAGCAAACTTTGCCGCCTGGACGAGTTGCACCAAGAGCGGTTGACATGGTTTTGTTAAAGCCAGCACAATCAAAACTCACGTCGATCCCAGCTCCCATAGCTTTCTGAATGTTTTCTATTTCTGCAGCTACATCCTGTTCATAATATCAGTTAGTGAAGTGGAAAGAACACCTGCAACATCTTGAGTTCACGGTTTAATTTCACGTATGGTCACTAAAACTCCCACTATATCAGTAAAGTTCGGTCACTTTAATGTTATAGTAGCTAAAGTTCAATTACTTTATATGTGACAAAAAATAGTTTTGTGACTTTATTGGTATAATGGATAAATTTAAGTGATCATACGTGAAATTAACTCTTGTCTTCACTCTCAAGCGTGCATATGAAACGTAGGAGAGATCATCAGCAAGAAGTTTGAAGTTTAGATCCAGACCTGAATATTAGTTGAGACCTTGACAATGTCATCTGCTCCTAACTTCTTTGCAACAGAAAGACGATAGTCATCCACGTCGACAATAACAATTCTTGGGGCACCAAAAGCACGAGCTGCGAGCAGTGTGACAAGCCCAATTGGTCCAGCTCCCAGCACTAATATGTTTGTCTCAGGACCAACATTTGCACGCCGACAAGCATGGACACCAACACTAAGTGGCTCACACATTGCTCCTTCCTCCAAACTTACATTATCCGGGAGCTTGAAACATAGATCTGCAGGATGGACTACCTGTTGGCGATACAAAAATTAATTAGCATTTTAGTCACAGTCCAAATATTTATCACTTCACAAACCCTGCATTTAGCACAATGCATCTGTTTATAATTTTATGAAACCGACCTTAAATACCACAATTGTCTTCTCATTAAAGGCGAAATGAATGTAGGGAAATTTTTTGAATCGTGGGAAAACTGGTCGAAGTAGGTAAGCTTTTTACCTGATTCGCGAGAGAGCCATGAACAGGAGGAGTGGCAAAGAACTTCATTTCAGGGCACAGATTATATCGACCTTCTTTGCAAAGATCACATCTCCAGCAACTAATTCCGGGCTCTAGTGCCACACGATCCCCACGAACCAATGTCTTGACTTCACTACCAACTTCCTCTATGATCCCAGCACATTCGTGCCCGATCACCATTGGTTCTTTAACCACAAAATCAGCACATCTCAAGGTCTGAAATTCAAAAAATTATTTTCCAATTAGCAGCAAATCCAAGGGTGACTAAAATTAGTGTACTAAAGAAACCGTAGCAGAAATTCACGCACGGTACAAAGACACCTCAAATGCCTTGCAAACGGCTATATGATAGAGGTATGGATAGTTCACATTGACCTCCAAAATACAGCACAAAGATTCTGAAAGATTGATGGTAACCATATAGAATACTTAGTCATACGAGTATATGATGCATACTTGAATCCGGAGTATGCATAAGGATCCATATAACAGAAGATAATTAACATATGAACAAGGGAAGTCTCAACAAGCTTGTTTCATTCTTTTTACAAGATTCGATTGGTCGCGATACACAATAATCACAGGACACCAGAGGCGGACCTATGCTATACAGCGACTAGTCACCGCCACTCGTAAAATTCGGCAAAAATTTCATGTATACATGTATGTGTTTTTTAGAAAATAGTGATATATTAGTAGCAGACACCCTATATACTAAGCAGATTTTGGTTGAACCAAAAAGTACACCCCTGACCTTCAAATCCTGGTCCACCTCTGCATGACAACATTGCAGATGCAATTGAAACATAACCAGATTATCGACCACCACCTCCCCGCCCACCAACCCGAAAACACTACAAAAACACAATATATACATGAGCTACTACGAAGTGAGGAAAACCTTTACCTTGAGGTAGTGAACATCACTTCCACAAATACCAACAGCTTTCATCCTAACTCTAACATCATGTGGTCCTATGAAGTAACAATGAAAAACAAAGTAAGAAAACTAGTTGAAACAAAATCATAAAACAAATACCTATTTTTAAGCAATTAGTTTGCAAATCAAATCAGAGTCAAAGAGCTACTACACCCTCTGCTAATTCAGTAAGTTGACTTTGTCAGACCAACAACAACAACAACAACGACCCAGTGAAATCTCACTAGTGCGGTCTGGGGAGGGTAGTGTGTACGCAGACCTTACCCCTACCCCGAGGGGTAGAGAGGTTGTTTCCGAAAGACCCTCGGCTTAAAGAAGACGAGAAGAGGCAATATATCAGTACCATCGATAGAAACCACAGAAAAAAAAAAGCATCATCACCAGAACCAGAAGACTTTGTCAGACCAACTCATAAAATTCTACTATCAAATTACTATTATTGAATTTCTTTTTTTAAAGGTGGTGTCCGAGCTAGTTTCTATTCAACATTACTGCTACCTCCCACCAGCACATGTACCAAAACATATTTTGTTTCTATCTAGATTCAAACTCTGTTCGTACATGATTTTCACTCACTTTATTGATAACTAGGCTATACTCTTGGGTACCCGTTATTCTATTTTGCCTCTAGGAACTAAAGTTTCATCAAATCCATAATTATATCTATTTTTAGTTCGAAAAACTATTGCAACATATTACCCTATGAATTGATCAAACTAATCATAAAAGTCAACTTAATTAAACACCTAATTAATGAAATAATAATAATAATAATAATAATAATAATAATAATAATAATAATAATAATAATAATAATAATAATAATAATAATAATAATAATAATAGATACGAAAAAAAGGACAGCCCGGTGCACTAAGCTTCCACTGTGTACGGGATCCGAGGTAGGATCGGACCACAAGGGCCTAGGTTATTTCCACGGCTTGAACTCGTGACGACCTCGTGGTCAAATGACAGCAACTTTACCCGTTACGCCAAGCCTTCCCTTCGTAATAAGAGATACTAATAACTTCTAACTACGAGTAGAGAAAAAAATAGTACCCAAAGGAGGGAGATTGAAAGGTTGAATCTTGAGAGTGTTAACACCAAGAAGCCAAGCAGCCATGTTTTCTTCAACCTCATTACTTTTTCCTCCTTTACCCATTAGACCTCAGCTTCTTCTTTTTTCCTCAAAAGAGAGAAGATCAAGATTTGATTTTGGTTCTGACTGATTCTAAGTTTGGTTAAATCTATGTTGTATGAGAGTTTGTGTATATTAATGAATTTGCAATATCCAAGTAGGAAAGACACGTGGCTGTGGACTTATTGTGGATAAGAAGCAAACTCAGATTGTGCAAATCAATACTGTGGGCTATTAAATGATTGATTTTGTCTTATTTTAGCGCCGTGGTAAAAATGTGGGGAAACTAGCGGTTATGTTGTTTATTTAAGGGTGTCTAACTGGCCGGGTCAGCCAGTTTTCGGACCGGCTTCATTTAAAGTGTGGCACAGGCTCTTTAAGGAAGCACATGAAAAGTTGTCTTGAGCGTCCTCCAGAAATTCGTATTTAAGTTGATTTGAGACAATTTGTGTTATTTTAAAATTATTAGACGTATTTATGCTTAATGTTTTAGTTTGTTAGATTAATTTGAAGTATTATTATGCATGAAAATTTAGTTTTACTCCTTTTTCGTTAATTTACTTGTTAAATGCAAACTTCAATTTTGTAATTTTGAAATAAATGTAGCACTTGTAATTTATAAGTGAAATTTTTCCCATCTTCATTGTATTCTTTATATTTTTACTTTACATTAATATAACTTACAATAGTTATACAAAATACAAAGAAAAACTAAAAACTACACTAATCCGGCCCGGCCCGGCCCGGCCCCTTGTATCCGTAACCCTTACGGTTCATTTTTTACCCGGATGAACCTGAATCCATTAAACCCGGTAAGCCCTAACCCGTAACCGGCCCGGTTCCCAACCCGTACGGTTCCAAATTTTGCCTACCCAGCCCGGCCCGGCCCGGCCCACCCGTTAGACACCCTTATGTTTATTACAAAAATTGGTCAATTTATAAAATATTACTAATATTAGCCAATTAGCTATTTGTAGCCAAAACTTTTTACTATCTTTTGAGTTGGTGTTATTAGAATAGATTGGGGATATCTTAAGAAGCTTTAATCTCAGTTCTGGATGATTTGGTAGAGTTTTGAGATGGTTTGAATTGGAAATACGAAGTAGAAGACGAATATGGAAAAAAATAATGTGTATCACACCGTGTATCATTTGTGCATCACATATGTATCATATTTGTATCAAATGTGTATTATATATGTGTCTGAGATACATGCGTGATACATGTTTGATACATGTGCCGCAAAAAAAAAAATTGAACTCGATTTTAACTACGAATTTTGATACCAAATCAGTCAAATCACCTCCAATCTTCCTCAAATTTTGTATACTGACCCATCTATATATTTTTAATGAATTGCAACCATACCCATTGAAAAATGTCATTTTTTGCTTATATATATATATATATATATATATATATATATATATATATATATATATTGCTTCCTCATCCATGAAAATTCATTTTCCTTGCATCTAATGTTGTTAATCGCGTTTAAAATATGGAAGGAGATCTTTGCGTGTGATTCTTGGAGAGAAAGAACCATATTTATTTGAGTATTCAATTTTTATATGTGTTGGCTAATTTTGGTAAGTTACCTATTTATTTGGATTTTCAATTTTTATATGTGTTTGACTAGTTTTGGTAAGTCTATAATTAATGGCTAGAAATTGGTAAGTTGAGACTTTTTTGGAACATTACTGTAAGATTCCCAACTTACTCGCATTAGATATTTAGATCAATCCATATATACATATATGTAAAAATACTAATTTTAGAATAAGCGTTTTGTGCATGTACTTATATGAGGTTACATAAGTGAACCTATTTATGAATGAATTACGAGATTATTTTTTCGACTTTTTTTGGATCTTTTATAAAATAGCAGATTGATATCTTCGCCTTTGCATATAGGTTAATGGACATGTTAAATTTTATGACACTTAAATTATAATTTTATTTTGTTATCTTATTTATCGTCATTTAATATTTATTTTGTTAGTTCTCGCATGATAACTTATAATCCTTTATCGTGATATGGTGCTCGCTTTACAACCACCCAAAAGTGATAATTGCCACTAATTTGTTTCCTTTTTCTTTTCCACTTTCATTCTCTTCAAATTACAAAGAAAAGTTAAGCAACCCAAAAGAAAACAATGAAACACCACTAATTTGTGTCGTATTTTGTTTGCAAAATCTTTTTTTTTTTTTTTGAGCAGAAAATATATATATATATATAAATATATATATATAATATATAATATAATATATATAATTAAGGAATGCCTGGTACATGTTTATCATAAGATATCACACAAAGCGAAATGCATAGGCCAAAAAAAAGAATATTAAAAAATAAAAGAGGAAAAAGAAAGACCACCCATTTGTGTCTTCTTTTGGCTGCATTTCTTCAATCCACACAAAGTGAAATCCACTAGACAAAGAAAAGCCAAAAAGACAAAAGAGTAAAATCAACAAAAGAAAAATAGTGGACACAAAAATTTATACAATTCTAAGTTTAACCTGAGCAAAAAAAAAAAAA